TTAGGGTTTACAGTAGGGTTTAGGTTTTGGGGTTGAGGGCTTAGGGTTTAGGTTTTACAGTAGGGTTTAGAGCTTAAGGCTCACAGCAGGGTTTGGGGTATCTTAGGGTTTAGTGCTTATGGCTTAAGATGTAGTAGGGTTTAGGATTCAGGGTTTCATGTTCCTGGAGACGATGTTTAGGCTTGGTAACAGCGGCATTCCGGCAGCTGCGGACGGGACCGATAGAGGGTTGTATGAGCTATAGTCTAATTTCCTTCAAGGTGGGTTTGTAGAGGATTACATAGGGCAGTATAGGGGCAATTAAAGGGAAAGATTCCGAGTGTTTAGAGTAGTTATAGCTCATATAGGAGTTCTTAGGGCGGACCTGCTAAGGCACAAGGCATATACTAGAACTCTAGTCCAGGGCTTATGTAAGGATTGTGTAGCATACTTGCATACATTCGTACATGCGGCCACATACATACGTACGTGCACGCACACAAATCTCTGTGCTGACATATAGTGCACATATGTACCATGTACATGCATTCGCATTTGTGTATACATGTATAGTCCCCCTTAAGTAGATAGAATATGGGGTATATGGGGATCTTATTACAATATACCCAAAGCCATATTCTATCTTTTTAAGGGGGACTATATATGCCCGTGTTTCCCTTCCCGTCGAGTGCGTTACGTTACATGATCCAAATTTCCTTCGAATCCCAATCCCAAAAGGTCCCTCGTGCAGCCCATCCCTAGAGCCCCAACCCTAAGCCCAAAAGCCCGACCCTAAACTCTAACACGCAGGTGAGCTATAGTCGACACTCCTAGTATCCCCCTTAATGACCCCGATATGTTCTCTTTGAATTAATACCCTTCAAGGAGTTTAGACCACTCCTTGAATTAATCCCCTTCAAGGAGTTTAGACTATAGCTAATGTCTTCTCTAAACCCTAAACCTTAACCTATGTGGGCCTGGCGTGAGGGGCTTATGAGCATCCAGAGTCGGTGGGAGCTGTTGGGCCTGTCGGAGCCTGGCCTACCTGGACTGGGTAGGAGCCACAGGGTTTAGGGATAAGGGTTTGGGATTTAGGGACAAGGGTTTAGGGTTTAGGAATTAGGGTTGTTAGGGATTCAGGGTGGAAATTTGATTTTTTTGGTTTATGGGTTCGGGTTGAGGGCTTATGGCCTTGTTTGGGGGTTAGGGTTGAGTGTGTGTGTGTGTGTGTGTGTGTGTGTGGCTTTTTGGTATAGGGGCAAGGGTCTTGGGTACCGCCCCCACCCAGTAACAGTCAAAATTAGGCGTCCTATAAAGCGCTATACAGAACCATATTACATTTTTATCCAACTGTTACTGAGGGGGGGCAGTACCCAATGTAGGGCCCTTTTGTTTAGGATCAGGGTTTTTAGGGTTCAGGGCTCCATGGAGGGCATGTGGGGATCACTTCCTGTAGGTCTTCAGGGCCCTCCCTGGCTTAGGGTTAGGGTTTGGGGTTTGGGGTTTAGGGTTTAGGGTTCAGGGTTCAGGGTTTGGGGTTTAGGGTTTAGGGTTGTGTAAACACAAGTTTCAAAAACGGGACACTTTTGGTTTGGAGAAACCACATCCCTCTATAAGAAGTAATGATTTACTTTCCTATTTCGCAATGCAAAGACACCCTTGTCATTATAGGCCTCCCTATATAACCGCTATATCTTCCTTATCATACTAAAGTAGTTTCCATTTTCTTTTCCGTTATCCCCATGTAACAACAAACCCTCAATCATGCTCGCAGAATCTGTCCAGGAGGGCACCAGGAGACCCCGCCCTCGATCGTGGCCTCACCTGAGCGCGTCTCACACCCATCTTCAAGGACATTCCATCCCCAGGTGGGTAGTTACACTCCCTGAAACAAACATGGAAACCATTATAGCTCCCTTTTAGAGGGGCTGTAGTCTTTTTAGGGCCCTTTTTGGGTTTCCATGTTAGTTTCCGGGAGTGTAGCAGCTCGGTACTCCCGTGTGAGGCTCATACAAAGTCTGTGAATAAGGAGTAGATGGGAGTAATGGGGTTATATGAGGTCTACCTAGGCCTCCTGGTGCAGTACCTGCTTGAGAACTACCCACCTGGGGGTCTCCTTGACATCTGTGAGCGGCAGGGCACGCAAAGGCCCTTGCCCAGCGTTCAATTTTCTTGTGACCTCCTGGCTTCAACCCGTCTAAAATCTAGTCTAAAACTCTCCATGTGGCACTAAGCTGCGCAGCATGAACAGCGCAAAGAGACGGTTTTTGACGAGCTTGGAAGCCATGTTCTGCTGATCGGTATGGGTAAGTGGAAACCTCATCTCTTGTTGACCAAAGGTGCAGGTTTCCATCGCCATATTTGATGGCATGTTCTGCCTGGCAGCCCCCTATTACCTTCGCACGCTTGACTTCTAGGTAGGTAAAGCCTAAGGTATAACCAGGTCATGTCCTAAAGTCCTTTAAACACTACCATGACTGATAGCACCAGTGTTTCGTCGTTTGCCTGCATAGCCCCAGGACTCTAAATTTTCGAGCCGTTGCTGTTTATTTTTCTGTTTCCATCTCATTCTGATTCTCCACTAATAGAATATGTCCTTACATATCCCCCCTATTCTTATGTATCTCCATATCATCCCTTGGAAGGGGACCCTATAGCCGTCAGCCCAGTGCTTGGACAATTAGAGGCCTCAGGGCGCGCTGCCGGCCTTTCATATGCGGCTCGCGTTGCCATAGCTGCTCTCCATACAGACTCGTGTTTGTCTGTGATATCACGTGCAGTGCAGAATTGAGGCATGGCATTTTCCCAGACCCCAAAGGATCTCCGAATTAGATCCTCTAGAATCATATAAAGAAGTATACCCTAAACCCTGAACCCTGAACCCAATCTGGGTTATGTACGAGATATGACGAGTTTGTAGTGCAAGCTGGAGAGCAATCAAGCGCCGTTGCCGCTTCTTGGACAATGGCGGTGATCCGCCTTCAAAGTGCGGCCTGCTTTGTTGGATCTCTGTCACCAGAACCTTACTTGGAGGGTCAGGGGGATTTAGTCAGTAGGTGTTGACCCCTAGAACCCATATAGTAGCTATGGTTATCCCCATTATGACCCGATTTTTTTAAAAGTTTCCCTGAGTCTCCAAGTAAACCCTGAACCCATAGGTCGGCATTGGCTTGACAAGAGCTGGATGGTTGGACAGCCACGGGTAGCGATAGGCATGTGCTAGGGCTTGCAAGGGGCCAACTGCTGGGCGGCACGTTGTATTCGACTCCCGGTGTGCAGCTGCGCGAAAAAAATACAGCGCCTCTACATGTATTATAACATCCTAAAACATTACCAAAATTATGGTTCCAGCTTCCTTGTATAATTACGGCATAGTCTAACTCAAAACCCTAAACCCTGTAATTACGTAGGCTTCTAGAGTATGCGGGGGCCTGCGAGTTCAAGATCCGCACAGGTGCTAAAGAGAGCCGTATGTCCAACGTATAGCAAGATCACATCCTCCTGTTGAGTGTGGTATTTTCCTGATGCATATCATCTTACACCGTTCACCCGCCAAAAAAAAGCGCCGCTCAGGAGAAATTTAGTATCCTGCCACGGCTGGCAAATATCTTTGATGCCACCGTGTCCAAGTCGTTGCCTCAGACACCGACTGAAGGCGGGCATCATAAATGTTGAAGCTGGGTCGCTGTTAAGGAGCTTTAAGTCGCTTACCGTATTTGGGACGCACAGCGGCGCAGCCTAAACCCTAGGCACCAAACCTAAACCCTAATCCCTTCCTGTTACATCAGATTTCTTAATAATGAGAGTTGAATTTGAGTTCCTCAAAGGCAACCCAGGAAGTAAGATAGACATCCCATTGCCCGTTCAATTCCCTGACCAAGGCGTGTGAAAGTGACGCGGTTCATTGATTATGCCCCTATGGTGTTCCAGCCAGACCCTCAGTCTGGGTTGCGGTCAGGGTTTCGGGTGTAGGTGTAGGGTTTAGGCTTCAGGATTCAGGGTTTGGGGTTTAGGGTTAAGGTGTTCCAGCCAGACTCTCCGTGGCTTACAGCAATCATGCGGGGAGTCGTCAAAATTGCGGGCCTTAAAGCCTAATTGTCAGGGGCCGTATATTCATGAGAATCTAAGAAGGCACCGTACCATGATTTTGGCAACCCTCCATGTAGATTTGAACCTACCCGTCGAATCATCCCAACATACCCTGCACCCTATACCGCGCTGCCCTGTGAGCTAAGAACATCTCTGCAGGAGAAACCCTAAACCCTACACCCTAAACTCTAAACCCTTAAGCCCTGATACAGTAAACTAAACCCTAAAACCCTAAATCCTAACCCCTAAACCCTAAACCCCTAAATCCTATATCTAACCCCAATATAACCCCTATATAACCCCAATTTTACCTCTACATTATCCCTTTGACCCTTGAGCGCATAGACCTCCACTAAACCCCTAAACCCTAAACCCCTAAACCCCTCAACCCCTAAACCCCTCAACCCCTCAACCCTAAACTCCGCCATCCCTAGGGTTGATTAGCCCAGGCGGATACGCGCGAGCTTTGGAATCCACAGCGATGACTATCTTCGGTCTGTGGGACCTGAACAGCTGCTGGGGAACATGGTCCTGACCCTCAGTTGGGTTGAGGGTTTAGGCTTTAGGTTTTAGGGTTTGGGGTTATGCGTTTGGGGTTACGGGTTTAAGGTTTCGGCATCAAAGTCCGTTGCTCAAAAAGGTTTCGGGCTTAGGAGTTATGATGGCCAGGACTTCAGAGACACCAGCTGCAAAAGGGTGTCAGGACATTGGGTAGCTCCCAAAATTAGGGCCCTTTTTGGTACCGTTATATATCAAGTGCCCTAATGGAATCTATAGCCCAAAGGGCCCATACTTTTGAGAATAACCCTAAACCCTGAACCCCTAAACTTACCCGAAAATCCGCGAAAGATCCGCAAAAGGTCGCCTAAGTCGAGCAAGCCCCAGGCCTTGCAAGCCATGGGAGACGACATAGCTTCTGCGATTCGGTCTTGGAGTAAGGGCTTGGGTAAGCTCAAACCCCACTTCACCTTCCCAGAACTTTTTGTCGTCTTGTAGCTTCGGTTTTGGAGTTGAGGGCATAGGTCACGGGTTCTTTTAAGAGTTCAGGGCGTGGTTTCTGCTTCAATCAAACATGCCTCCGCAAAAGTTTGCGATGGTGTTCGCAAAAGGAAGTCTGGATTTCCGTGAAGAAGTCAGTCTGTCATGAAGTAATTTGGACTACGCCCGCTTCTTTCTCAATCCCCCTCCCCTAACATTGGACCACCCCACCCCCCTAATATCAACCATGCCGAATACACGATAATGTCACACAACGGGAGTATTTAACATTGTCCAGGGTTATGTCTAGTTGTATGCAGGGATATCCCTAGTACAATCTGTTTCTGCCGAAGGTTTGGGGTTTTAGGGCTAAGCCTAAAGCCCAAACCCTAAACCCCAAAACCTAAACTCCAACCTCTAAGCTCTAAATTCCTAAGCCGGGTAAAACATGGTCCCTAAACCCTTAACCGTAGCCAAGGTTTTGGGAAACTTGTCTTCGTTGTCAGAGCTGTCCTCTGAGGGCAAGAGTGGGGACCTCAGCGGGTTACTGTTTGGGGTTTTAGGGTTCAAGGGTTTTAGGGTTTAAGCCTAAACCCTAAACCCTAAACCCTGAAGGCTTAGGATTCTCCAGGCGCTCAGGAGGGACCCTTACTGGGGACCCTTGTAGCTTATTGGGGGTAATACTTTAGGGTTTAGGGTTTAGGGTGCTACCTGGTTAATTATATAGGGGGCTTTTCAGGCCTTTATAAAGGTTATATAAGGTAATGGGATTACGGGTCCCTTCTAAGGGGTCCCCTCCTAACAACCCTTGAGATTCAGGATTTAGGGTTTAGAGAGGCTTTTGGCTGCAGAGTTTAAGGGTTTATATAAGGGTTTAAGGGTTTAGGGTTTACGGGCTTAGCGGTTTAGGGTTTACAGGTTTAGGGTTTAGGGTTTAAGGATTTTTTAAGGGTTTAGAGTTCAGGATGCATCACCAACAATATTCCCTTTGGGGATAATTCTGGGGTCCCTTGTATGGGTTTAGAATGGTTATATAGGGGTTTAGGGTCTAGGCATACCCGAGTAGAAATGGCAGGAACATGGAACTGGCATGTAGACTGAGGTTATATAGGGGGTACAAAGGATATATTTCACTTAGATAACAAGCCCTCCTCCCCGACGCACCTCATGCAGTAGGGTACCTTATAGAAATAAAGAACATTCTTCCTGGTGTGGGGGCGCAAATTTTTTTGCAGACCTTCACTACAATGTTGGCGTTTTGCATTTTTTGTCGTTAGGGTTTCTGTAGGTCGGGATTGCTAAGAACATGGGAGCCTCTCAAAATTATCCGTGCATATCACTTGCAGTCTTACAGGGGACCCCATTGTCCCTGTGAACCCAAGATTTTTTTTCAGGTCCCTGAAGGGTTTTCTTTCTCAGAAGCCCCCATAAATAATGGCCAATGTTATGGGGTCATAACCATTATTGAACCTTAGCGCAATAAACTGGCAAACCCTATTCTAATCACATGGACTAATTTCCATAGACCGGGGTACCCCAGAACTGGACCCCCCACAACCCATAATCCCAAGTATAGGTACCCTCAAACAAAAAAACCATTGATTTACGGAAATCCACATAAACACCAACCCCTTATGCTGTTTGGGCTTAGCTCTCTGGCCCCCTTATTCTTAAAAACCTTAAACCGTAACCCCCAAACCCTAATTCCTAAACCCTAATCGCTAAACCCTAAGCCCTAAACCCTAAGCCCTAAACCCTAAGCCCGTAACCCTAAGCCAGAAACCCTAAGCCCGAAACCCTAAGCCCGAAACTCTAAGCCCGAAACCTTAAGCCCTATACCCCAAACCACAGTAACTTTTGTGAACCAAGGCGGGGCGTTTTTCTACTACACGTCTGATGGGCACCTTGGCAGCGGACAATCAATGCTTTTCTGTAGTAGAGTATGAAGTGATCTATAGTAGCATATAGGGATGCGTTAAAAGTTCGGATTTTTCGGGGCCCCCGCAATAAGGAATGTAGTTTTTTGGGGTCGGCATCGGGGTCCCCTGATTTTGGGAAACTACCAAATACGTAGGAGGTTCCGAAATTATGACAAAATGCCTAGTATAAGCCGTCCCCCCATTCCCTACCGAGCACCGGGCAGCAACCCACGCTTGTATCAGTCGATGTGTGGTGTAGCCAAGGAAGTACATGATGAAGACAGTCACGCACAAGGCCGGCGCAGCAGGGCATGTGCCGTAGGCATGCTTGGGGGCTGGGGCTTGCAGCATCGGATGAGGAGCAGATGCTTCTGAAGAAGATGCTGAAGAAGTATTACGTGCCTTCGCTGCAAGAGCTGTTTTGTGCAGGGCGGCAGGGCTAAGAAGGGATCAGGACAGATAAAGCAACCGCACGTGAAGCAAAACACCTCCAAGAGAAGTTCATGGAAGGAAGTGCGCACAGACAAGTTGCAGGAGCATGCAAGAGTGGACCCACACAGCAACAGGAAGACGCTTGTGCAATACGGAGCCGCATTCGTACTATCAAGCCCTATGCTACAAGCCCCCTTGCCCCCCTCCCCAAAGATATTATTACTATACTAAAACTATGACTATATTAGTATTAGTACTTTACTACTGTTGTCACTATATTACTGTTGTTATCATATTGTTATAGTACTTACTACGACATGCTATATTACCACGATTACTAGCCTAACTAGGGATGGTTGGGGTCATGTTTGGGAGTACCAACATCCTGTTACTTCTTTATATAATTTCGTTAGCCCTACATGAGGCCCATATAGTCCCGTTATACAATATACGCCTCATATGACTTGTTGAATCCTTGTGTTTTAAGTCCCAGAAGCCGCCCAACCCTAAACCCTAAACCCTAAACCCCAGGACCACATCACTCAGAATCAGGGTACGCTCTTGGTGCGATTTCTGGGCTTGTACCGGGCTCAGGGCCGGCGTTCTGGGCACTTGGAGGGTAGTTATAGCAGGGTTTAGGGTTTAGGGTTTAGGGTTAGCAGCATTCTTTTAAAGCCTGGGGGAGTAGGTTTATAAGCACCAGTAATTCACAAAAATCTCCTGGTATACCCTAGGTGGAGCCCCCCACCCAGTAATGGTGACTATAAGGGAGACTGGTAATTACATTAGGGTCCTCTTATATTCTATTGCAGGGTGGGGGGTCCACCAAATGTACAACTCCAGGTGGCTCTGAAGGGTGCCTTAGTCTTAAGGAACCCTAAGCCCTCAACCCTAAACCCTAAGCCCTCTAGGGGCCCCAAAGAATACCCCTTTAGGGTTTAGAGTCTAGGGTTTAGGGTTCCCGCGCGGGAAGCACCTGCCGGGTAGCATAAAGCTCTTGCGTTAATGGCTCGTTTAGGGTTTAGGGTTTAGGGTTTAGGGTATGGCTATGTGAGTAATTCCTAAAATTTGGGTTACCTTATGAGGGGGAACTACCATGTCTTGCTTTGTGGGATTATCTCAGGAGATGTAGGGGTTATAGCTACACTTAGGTATTAGGGGATAGGGTTCTTCGGGCTTCGAGTAGGAGATTATTGAAGCAGGTTTTAGGGTTTAGGGTAGGGTTTCAGTACCCTCCCCAAACTCACATGGAACCCCATGAAGCCCCAGGACAAAGGGTTTAGGTTTTAGGGTAGTCTTTAGAGGAACCCTGTTCGGGTTTACTGACCAGGTGATAGCCCATGGATTGCAAGTGCTAGCGAGGAGCTGATGGCTCGCAAATAGTAGGGTTTAGGGTTTAGGGTTTAGGGTTTAGGCTATTGGGACTCGTTGGGGTTTGGGGGGTCCTTTGAGGGGGGCCCTTACCAATCAATGTATGAGTTGACGAGTGCGCCATCGTATGCCAACCCGGGAAGCCCATCAATGTTCCGGAAACAGCTGCAGGCGCATGTTTGTCAATCAATTCCTGCGTTTGTTTTCCTGATGTACTTACTGTATGACCTTTGATTTTGGGTTTTGTGACCCATGCTGGTGGACTGTACACCTAAATTCCGAAATTATGGCTGCGATGTACATTTTAGGTCTCTCCCCCTTACACTAACAATTACCACAACGGGCAATTTAGAGTTAGAATGGTCCCCCAATGAGACTTTAAGACAGTTACTGTGAGGGAGAATGACGCACGTAAGTTTTGTCTCCAGCCGTTCTCTGCTGGTACGTATTCCAGGCATTGCCTCAGCGTCCACAAGGATCGAAAGGCTGGCGGTAGACTTTCGATAGGCAACGTCTTTATGGCGGCTTTTTTCGTGATTCCAGTGACGAAGGAACGGATTCCTATAATGGTCGCAATATAGTTACGTACAAAATTTGGCCCCTTGTCCCAGTCCTTCATTCCTTGCTACCTGCCAGAAAAGTCATGTCTCGTTGTTGCTCGACAACATCTTATCGTGGATCTTGACAGTGTTGAACATGCACCCACGGCCTATGTACCACCTTCGTCCCCATAGACCCCGATCTATCCCTATAATGCATCCTTATACATCTCTATTTATCTCTATCCCCTAAACCCTAAACCCCTAAACCCTAAACCCCCATATAATCAGGATGACACCTCAAAGTGTCATGTTTTATCTGTGACAAGCCTGCAGTCCGTCAGCTTCTTTGTGTTGTGTGTATGCCACTGTCCCACCCAACAAGCGTCAAGTGTAAGCTCGGGTTCAGTGTTTAGGGTTTTGGGTTCAGGTTCTAGGGTTCCCTGGGTTTAGGGTTTACGGTTTAGGGTTTGGAGTTTTGGTTGAGGGTTTGGGGTTACGGTTGGGTACTGCCCCCACCCATTACCAGTCTGTAACAGGGCTAATATTGAGGGTTATATGAGCTACTGTCGATATGAGGGTTACCAGGGGACCTTCAAGAGTGGACATAGGGAAAAACGCATCAGCCACCAAGAGGGTTTAGCGTTCAGGGGGTTTCCGCCACAGACGAGCGTGTCTCATGTTTTGCACCTCTCTGATGGATGAGATGATTCTCGGATCGTAAGCAGAGAAAGTGTAAATAGTAGTTTCCCTCAATACGGCAAAACAATACTATAATCTACAAGGTTCCTGAAAACAATTTTTAATTTCTGTTACTTAGAATCCTAATAACTAGCTGAAATTCTAATTTCTACTGGGGTTCCAATTCCCTTAAAGTACTCCTTATTCTAGCGAGCCACAAAGAGGTGCCGCTAATTGTGGGAAATCCCGAAAGTGTCATCTATCTTCGCAGGGCTCGGCAGTCCAGAAGGTGTACTTTGTGGTGCTCTCCTGAGCTCTGCCATTCCTTTTGTATTTTGCACGCTCCATCTGTTCAGGTGGAATGATAACCCAGGTATAATTTAGGTGGACTCCCCACCAGTAATAGTGACTATAAGGGATAATAGGGATTATATTAGGGTCCTCTTATATTCTTATTATACCACTCTTACAGGGTGGGGGGTCCTCCTAAGGTATAATCTAGCTGCAGGTATGTCACTGCGGTGACCTAGCACCCTAGACCTGAAACCCTAGAACAACAGATTCAGCCCAGGTGATGGGCAACATGTTCAACACCCCCTTCGAGATTCACAGGCGATATGACCTGAAAGGCCTGTGGGCCTTCTTAGACCACCTGCTTTAAAATGCAAGTTATTGGGTCACGAAACTGTCCCCAAAGGGTTCTTATTAGTGGGCGAGTATAGCTCCCATTATCCATTCTGGTTACCGCGATATTAGGATCATCTTGGGGCTATATGAAGGTAGAAGCCCCCCTGTGGGTCCTAACCGCTAAGACCTTAACCCGGGGTAGTTCCTGATACCCCTTCAGTCTAAGGAAGTTTCAGTAGTTTCCCCTACATAAGCCTTATATAGCCCTTATATAGTCCCAGTGCCTCTATATAAGCCTTTTTTCGCCTTATGTAGCGTCGCCCACTTGTTAACTGCCCACCTGAAGACGCATTCAATTCAGATATGGGCCGGTCGGGCACCAAGCCTTGGAGGCAAAAGGGTTAAGGGGTGATGGAAAAGACAATGGAAACTACTGTATTAGCCTGGGGTTTACTATCTATTTTTGCTATGACTATTACCCATGATAAGCGCCGAATTGGATACGGGAAGCCGTTCGGCTGCGCGCAGCGATGCTGTAAGCGCTACATGTTTACTACTATTGCTCTGAGGCTTCTTTGAGTTTGCCTATACCACATTTATACAAGGAGTATGGGGCCATAGTTTTGGTATTCATTTAGGCCCCTACAGTATGCCACTGTGAGACTTTTCAGAATCCGCCCCCTCCCCCGCTGGCCTTGTTGCAAAAGCTTTTCCCGGATGTCATCATTCGAAACTGCACAGCTTGTTGGTGACTACCTGGCATTTAGTAGGGAATGAGTGAATGGATTCCTACAGTAGCGCCTAACAGAATCTCTTATGGGCCGAAGACATATCTCCCTCTCAGTGGTAGTATCTGCGGGTACACGACAGGTGGGGGGGGAGTTAACATCTACTAGTTTCCATTTTGTGTTCCCATTCCTCTCTATCCCCTAGAAACCTCTACAAAACCGCTTGTAGGGGCAGGGGCTCATTATTAAGGGGAAGGAATTAACCCTCTGGCTAGCAGCGCCTTGAAAAACAAAGACCCCCATACTCTGCTACGCGCCAGGTAGCCGTTCGTTGATGCTACAGCCTACATCCCAAAGCTAATCCCTATGCCTCAAGCCCTATGCCCCAAACCCTAAATCCCAAATCTTATACCCCTCGTGGTAGAGCAGTTTCCGTTTTCTTTTCCATTCTCCCCCTATCCCGGTATCTCCCTGTATACCCCTCACTGCAATGGACTAAGTCCTGAACCCTAGACCCTACACCTTCAGGATTCCTGAATCCTGAACCCTAATCCCTAAGCCCTAATTCCTAGAGCCTAAACTCTCAGTCCTGAAGCCCGAACCCTAACCCCTAAACCCTAATCCTTAGTCCCTAAACTCTAATCCGTGAACTCTAATCGCTAAACCCTAATCCTCAATCCCTAAACTCTAATCCCTGAGCCCTAATCTTTAAATCCTAAACTCTAATCCCGATTACGTGAAGCAGAGGCTCGAGAAAACTAGAGGCCTCGAGCCAGACCCAAACCCAAACCTTGCGCCCGTCTGGTCCAGACAGGTCCCAGTGGTTCAAGGCTTGAAGGCCTCCAGGCAAGGCTCAGTCTCACAAAGCAGGAAGCCTCGAGCCCGACCCAGCCCAAACCTTGCACCCGCTTGATCTAGACACGTGCAAAAAACAAATAAAGAGACACCAGCGCGATCGGAGTTCGAGAGAACCCTAAACCCCTAAAGGTCGAAGCAAGGGTGGAGCCCCAGCGGGGGTGGGTACCATGCCGGTCCGGCTGAGCGCCCTGGTGCCTCCAGCAGTGCACCACCTCACTGAGACACCCCAAACCCTAAACTCCAAACCCTAAACCCTAGCTAGTAGTTTCCGTGTTGTTTTCATTAACCCTACTATAACCCAAATATGTAAACTATTATAGAAGCTTTCATTTTCTTTTCCATGAAGTACAAGCCCTCATAATAGTAGCTTCCATTTTCTTTTCCATTATCCCGAAATAAGCCCTATAGAACCCTTATATAATCCCATTGTAATCCCTATATAATCCCTACATAGCCCTTATATAATCCTTATATAACCTCTTTATAACCCCAATATAACCCTCATATAATCCTTATATAATCCCTATATAAACCCAATATAATCCCTACAAAACCCCAATACAAGCCATATAATTCCTAAACCTAAACCCTAAAACC